AGAATATAATATTCTGATAAATCATGCCATTTTGAACATTAAACGCGCTTTGAAATTTCGGCGGTATTTCCAGAAAGAGAACACAAAGGTGTCGGCTCGAGCTCCTTGGCAGAACGGTTATAATTGCCTGTGCCCCTGCCGGTTGTGTTGTACGAACTGGGGTGGTCAAGTAAAAAAAAATCGTCGCGTTGCTATTCAAAACATATGTCATTTTCTGTATCGACTCTCCCATTGTGGACAGGCCGGACGGATTCCCTTATTAGTTATACCGTGAACTCGCGGACAGTTCCCATGACGACTGGATTTATTGTATTTTTATAAAATTTTGTCCCTCTCCCTTCTATCTTTCCTTCTTTTTGCATATAAATGTCAGCGAGATTTCTGGACGGCGCGACGGTCCATTGTAACGTTCGCGGAAGCGAAACGGATTAGTTCCGTCAACGTCGAATTGTGTTCGGGGGAAAAAAATCACATCTCTCAATTTGATTTGCGTGTCACCTTTTTCCTTTTAACAAACTGCCTTATCCTTGAAGGTCCTAGCTGCTGAGCTTTCGGCTGTACCCAGAGTTGTAAATTAGGGACAATTAGTGCAGAACCTTACTTACACGCTACTAAACGCTTACTAGCAATTTGGTTGAATTATGTGTTGTATTATGTTTCTCTAATTATATACAAGTTTACTTTTTGTTTTATGCTATACTGCTACTCTGAATAGTTTTAGCGTCTCCATTGCAATGTTAGCTATTTTTTTTTTATATTTAAATATTTTTGTGCCTTTATTTTACTGCGTTCACTTTAGTAATCTTAATGTTATAATCATAACACGCATAAATCAGTACCATGTTTACCTAAAACATGAACGTCCACGTAGCTTTAAAGAATTTAAAATATTTTGTAAGAAAGTCTGCAGTTACAGAACTTAATAAATAAAAAAAATATGGGCTTATTTAACTTATACATTCCGTAGTCCTAAAAGGAAATTTGTAAATGAAAGAATTTAATTGAAGTAACAATTTAATAGCAGTTTATTGATGTTTGTGTCTCAGTTTTTTTTTACACAAAAAGGGAATTGTCATATTATATATTAGCATGTGGAGGGTGGTTGAGAAAATAATTATTAAAACAGTCTTAATGAAGCGCTCGTCTTTGACTCACGTTCCCTGTGCCCCTACAACACACATAACAAACACCTGTCCAATCTTGGTTTCTTTAAGCCAAGGCGTTTGGCTTATATTATTGTATTTTTAATATAAAGACGATATTGAGATCATCCGATCATACGAAGAGACCCATTAGCAAATACTTTCGATCATTAAAAACCAACTCTATGAAATACAAAAGGTTGTTTTAACACAAAAGCCGCAGAATAATACGAGGGGGATCTCTATGGATGTTATGAGACCAGCAGATGGGGTATACTGATTACAGTCGGCAACAAAAGTCTAGATGCTACTGATAACCCGGCAGTCGATGCAATGGCGTTACACTATAGCTCTCTCAGGGTTGTACACAAGCCATTTAGAATAAAACAAATGTATGGGTATTTCAACTTTCCTTTAAATCTGCCCTGTTATGTGTGACATACACACTACAGTTTATTTGTTACTAGCTGATCCGGCAAACGTTGTTTTGTGGAATTTCGTAAAATTCTTAGCTGATATCTACTCGGCGAAAGGAATATTCCTAACAAATTTCAAGTATCTACGCCTTATGGTCCCAGAGATATCGTGATGAGTCAATTGTCGGTGGAAATCTCTTATATATATATATATATATATATATATATACATATATATATATATGTATATATAATTATATAGATAATGATTTGTTTATTGATATTCTTGAAAATTAATACTTCCAATTCTGTAGGACATAGTTCGTAGACAGTGGATCTTTTTTCTTAATAAAATTTTATTGAGATTTTTATCTCGGACGTCTAAAATGCAATGTTAGCTAAAATGTTTAAGACAAGATAAGGGCCAATAAATCGTAGAAAATTTATATATATTATTTTTAAATAGAATGATATTTATAACTGTTTAAATAAATTTTATTAATTTGCATGACAAAAAATATATTGTAAAATATTTGGCTGCATCATTAAATATGGGACATTTTCACAGCCCTATTTCATTCTATTGGGTCACCGAAATGCAACGCGTCACCCAAAACGCCGAGCCGATCACAGATAAGGCATTAATTTGGCTCAAGTATCCTATACTGCGTCAAAATTACGCCCGCAAGCTCTGCAGTTGCGCATAACTCTAATGTATTGTAACGCAACGCAATAAAACTCCGAATCGCGTAAATATCTGTTTCTTGATTGTAATTTATAAGAGATATTGGCCGTTGAAGAAATTGATATGGAGCGGTATTGTGGGTGATCACAATGGAGCTGTTTTCGCGGTATTGTAACGCCGTAATGAATATGTTTCCTTGATTAGTCCGCTTAATAGTCCATACCCTCGGGACTCTGCAATGATTGATGGGCTCCTGGACTAACTCGACGTTTCCCCCCGCCTCGAGATGTTTTTTAATTGGCACGTTTCTTGTAGTTTCTAACCGGCTAGTATTCAACTGACATTAAATTATATTAATTATTTTCCTAACCTCTCATTTAAAATGTATACAACACATAATGAAATCCAGTTTTCGCAATTTAATTTTAACGCTTAGTTAGTATCTGCACATGTGATGACAATTAGAAATTTGCTTTTTTTTAAAGTGAAAAGCTGTCAAGCGAGCAGGCGGTTCACTGATGTTAATTGAATACCACCGTCCATGGTCATCTACAACACCCGATGGATTGCTGATCGTTGACGACCTTTAGAAAAGTGGGCCCCGGTTACCTCACTCGCCAGACGAAACGCGAAAGTTTAATACTTCCACTTCACGCCGGTCTTCCGTGAGCATGCCCATTCGTGCAACAGCAAAAACCGTGGCCCTACCATGGATAAAACTGTCGCATTTTTTTCGCTTCCACCAGGATTCGAACTTGCCACTTCCGGATTACGCGTTTGTTCCTTTTCAAAGGCGACATCTACGTCTTTCAAATATTCATGGTAAAAATTTAATTTTAGAAAGAGTGTGAATGTCTACAAATGCAATAAAAACGAAAGTAGGCAAGACGCCGATTTTCGCGCGGTGACGACGTCGACCGCTTTAGCTTAGTGGCTATTTTTCGGATTTATTGTGTGACGTTTCGATTACTTTGCACCACTGTTCATTCACTCATCATTATTTATTCATTCATTCGTTCATTCCATTTTTGTGGTATCCTACTATTCATATACGCCGTCAGCGAATGCCTAATACGATAGAGGTTATTTTCTCTGGAAAAGAATGGTATATCATAAGTTTGGGCATTTGATATGCTGTCAGTGAGGTGTTTAAATCCTGAATATGAAATAAGTTTGGCTTAATTTAACCCTGTCTTCCTTCCTGCTTTGTCTTAAGGACGTAGCGATATTGTCAAAAGCCTAACCAAACCAGATGCCGTTGTGTACAATATACTGTACTGTACAGTTTGTACCTTTTATTTTGCGACGATTGTAAATAGCCCATATTATTAAGTAATTGTTAGCACTGTTGGTTTTCATTCATGCGTATTACATTCAATTACACTATTTGTGCAAAGCCTATTATTTAAGTGAAACGATTTCTTTGTTCAAAGGTCATTATAGCACTCCGTTCTCTTGGCGAATAGACAAACATTATACTGCAACACTAGCTCAAGTCCGCGACTTAACTATATCTATCCCGTAGTATATTTTTATGGTGGTAGGGCCACGCAGCAGCCTCGGCTGTTGCACGAATGGGCAGGCCCGTCCGGGTAAGTACCACGACCACACAGAAGACCGGCGTAAAGTGGAAGTAATAAATACTTTCGTGTTTCGTCTGGTAAGTGAGGTAGCAGTAGTAGTGTAGCAGATGTCCATGGGCGGCGGTATTCACTTAGCATCAGGTGAACCGTCTGCTCGAAAACGAGCAGAGGGTTCTCAAAAAAAAAATGATCTTTCATAAAAAAAAAAATATGATGATATCTTCTGCAGGTTATCAAAATTGAAAGTACGCGGAAATTTAACCTATGAATTTCACTGAAATGGGTTTAGCTGTTTCTACGCCTTTTGCATTATTTACTGTATTGATAAATGAAATAACTTTTGGCTTATATTTTGTGATCACAGACGGACACTTAAATTTTATTACTGATATAGAACCGGATAGATTGCATCTCGTTGAAATGGACGCGTCGCAGATACGATTAAGCGCGGGCAATGCGCGTGCGCAGACTATTAGCGTCGCAATTATATCGGCGAGGTCAGCGCTGATTGCGGTGTCGCTAAATACGTGTTATTGCGGCCCATTACAGGGTCACAAGTCCGAGCTCGACTTCCAATCGAAACTCGACAATGTCGAATGTTATTTTTAGTTTAGTTGGGCCGCACAGCATCATTGTTACCCGATTACCGAATCTTAACAAGGTAGACAGATTAGTAGTGCTAACAAAAATTTTGCCAAAGCCGAAGTCCACGAAAGCGCGCTGTCGCCGTAATCCAGTAATGGACTTAAAGGTGTCAATTAAGTTTATAGTAATCAATTGTACATTTACTGACGCATCCGGTTCGAACCAACAACGCCGAAAGTTTTTTACATTTATCTACTTTCACATTTTAATATGGATACTCGGGGTTCTCTGCCTGTATCGTTACGGGTTAACATACAGTAAAGTAAAGTAAAGTAACAGCCAATACATGTCCCACAGCTGGGCAAAGGCCTCCTCTATACAGAGGGTATCAGGGCATAGTCCACCACGCGGATTGGCGGACTTCACGTATTTTCGAAATATATATTTTTTTGTTATTATTTCGAAAATATGCAGGTTTCCTCACGATGTTTTCCTTCACCGCGGAGCACGTGATAAGTCGCGTCTGAGCACGTCTGAGCTATCACGGCTCTACAGTACTACTCACATACAGTAAAGATAGATAATAGAAATGGATTTAGCGAGGGGTGATTTTCGCTCCGAGCTCGAAAACGCCAGCATAGACCGCGTCAAACTGAGCCTGTTCCAAGAATGCAGGAGACGGTTCGCGCAAAGAAACCGGATTCCGTGTAAGCCGCGAACGCAAGGCGGAGCGTCTCGACAAATTTACGACGGTTTTTCTGCCCACGGCCCGTTTTTTCCCAACTCCCAACGACCCGAGCTTTTTTGCTGAACGCGAAGTCACTAACTTCGGCCGATTTAAAGCGTCATCGGACACCCGAGACTGGCCCGGTTGAGGTTTTGAATGGAATTTTGCACAACCATATGTTTCGCTCTGACATTTGATCGTGGATCACCTCTATGACCGCTCAAATTTTATATAAAAAGAGGTTTACATTCTACGTTACAATTTTGAAATTCAAAAAGCCTGCCAGCTATATCAGACCAAAGAGGTTCGTTAATAAGTAAAATAAAACCTTGAAACAACATTCAAAAGCAAGTGGAGTGTTCATTTCGTACAACTTAGTGCGAATAATTGAGTCAGCTATAACAATTAGGTACAATCGTTATACGCAAACATGATAACAATCGAGGACACAAGATAATACTCGTCTTCGATATAGACAGCTCTATAATTGCCATAACATTGTTTACATTTAATTCGATAACGCAGATTTATAAATAAATCCATTGCAGTTAATTAATCATCAAGCCAATCATTACAGTCATGCAAATACAGTATTAACTATTAATAATGGATTCATGGATTTCTCTATTTCAGATAGAATAACGAAACTTAATTCTACAAAACCTCACATTAAAATATTTAGCACAAATTAATATTAAAAAAATACCAAATAATATATGAAAGGTAAATGGTATGCGATGTCCCGGATGGACAAACTTAAAAGTTGTAGATAGTGTTTAAATTCGCAACCGGGATGAGTATTTGTATTACAGTAGCTATTTACATGTCCTTGGTTAATTTGAGTTTGTAAAACACGTGAACAACACAGAATTTTTTTATAGTTAAGGGAGGTGCCGAAGAAAGATGTAAAGACTTATATAGAAAAAAACCACATGAAGCTCGCGCAACAGTTTTGAATGGTAGACATACAAACGCATCAACAGCCAGATCTCAAAACCAGTCCGAGTGCAAGGCGCGTGCCCGGTCGCAGCATCCGCGCCCTAACCCTTGCCCATCCCCGGCTAACCCGTAGCTCGTGCGGAGATGAAAGCCCACCTCCGACCCCACCGTTCATCTCGCACACACCGCATCCTTTCGCTCCGGCTAAAGGGTACACTCGTGCGCAGGGATTCTGCGGGACCACGTGCCCTTTGTCACCGAGAAAGGGATCTCGCAACCCTTCATTTACCCGAGTTCCATTACACAAGTTCCATACACGCGGCGAATAGAGCGACAGATTATTTATTCCAGTTTAGTTTTTTTATAATGGCGTCCTATATACGGTATCCAGTCGCGATGTCTGTTCGCGCGGATTCCCAGAAGGCGCAACAAACACGTGTCTCCAGACCGTGGGAGCACAGTGACGCCCGAACGGAGCGATTATATAAGCGAATCCGTGAACTGGTATTCCTTTCTTCATCAATATTCACAATATCCGAGCGGACGGGCCTTTTTCGGCGTTTCGGGTCCTCAACGGCTTTTCGGGGCGGTGACCCTCGACCCGCGGGACCCTCCGGTCTGGAATCTGGTTTGCCCGGGAAGGCCGCGTCGCAACCAGCACCGAACCGGATCCACGCCGTTTGTCGTAAACCAGAAACGGCCGTTTGTCCGCGGCGTCGCATACTATCGACTAGAAAACGTCTAGCGCAGTCTGTGAAGTCGATGGGGTTATTTTTTGACTCAAAGAAACTCCATCAATCACACGATAAGACGTGCGTTGAGGACTGTGAGATTGTTAAAGCGTTTGACGATAATTTAAAACTTGTACACTTGACACAAACAGATAAAACAAATTAAAAGCGTGAAACAATTTGAAAAGGAAAACGATGTAGATGACCATTTAAAGAAAATAACGGAAATTAATGGTGAACAGGAAGGTAACAATAAAAAGCGAATATGAAGACAAATACGGAAGAAAATTAAGTATTTAATTTTAAAGAAATTCCACCTCATAAATGGATATGAAATGCGCTGAAATTTCAGAACACAAAACTGACAATCGTCCTACCCAAAATTGTTCTGTGCATAAAGTAATACGGTAAAATTAATGTAAACTATGACATAAAGTTACAAACTTGTAGTTACTCGTAATGAATATTGGAAATAGTTGCAGAAAACTTCATACATTTTTAGATTTTCGTAAGGATCCATAGAATATGTAGCCAAGAAATAGTAAAAGTATCTCTAAATATTGCTATTCAACAGTTCAGATTTAATTGTAAGTTATATAGTTTTATAAAGAATTTTACGGACAATACATAAACATAAAATAATCTTTATAAGATTCACCATAAATCAATTTTAGATATAATTGCTTACGATATTCAGAGGTGACTTCTACTGGGCTCAGGAATTATCGCCTGATTAACTAGTGGAAAGAAATATTATCAATCAACAGAATAACGAAGAGAGAACAGGTCCAACTCGAATCAGTTGAGAAATCACCAATGTCAAACAATTTGTTAAGTTTATCGATTACGTCATCATCATTAATAACCAGAAATTATCGATAATCCATCAATAACCGTTAATCTTTATTTGCGCAAACATCGAAAACACCTTTGAGGCACACGTGACCGCGGCCAACGAACACTTCTTCTTTTTTGCAACAAAAAACGTCCCCATAAGACACCTCACAATGGGCCCCCCGCTCCCGTTAAGTAACCCAATTTTTGCACCGTAAATAAAAGATAAAAAAACGCTCTAAAAGCTAACGGTCTTCCGGGGTGGTTTTTTCTTAACATATCACGGGTACACGTACGAATTAATTTGTAGTACGCCCCGATGCTTACGCACACAGCGGCTATTGAGAGCGAAAATTAGCCCACATTCATTGGCTTCTTTCGTGTTCCACTTTTGAAATTTCCTTGGCTTCGTTTTTTACTTCTTTTTGTGTCTTTTTTTTTCTCTCTTGATGTTTTGTGACAACATTGACAGTTCCGGCCCCCGGTTCCACGGCGTCGAGGATTTGTAAATAATCTCATTGAAAATTCGTATTATCCGGCGAAACTTCTCGTGTACGCCTGATTGGATTTATTGTTGGCAGCTTTTTGGCGTTATCGAACAAGAGAGTCTTGATTCGGACAGAAACAAACGAATTCCGTTTCGGCTCTTAAATTATTCGCGAAGTTTTGTCCGTCACTTTTTGTTGTTCAAACAGATATTTAGATGGGACGTAATTCATAATGTATTCAGCTTGCGTAATATTTCAGTTAATTTATTGTTACAGCTACGTTCGCTAACAAGCTCCACTCTAGTCTGTTAAACTTAGAAATTTAAATCTTTTCCGTGAAAACATATTTACCTCGTTCGAGACATCCTTCAGTAACTATTGCGGTGTCTTCTTTTAATATTTTTTTTTTACTTTAACCGTGTTTTACTTTTACCGTTTTCCTACATATTTGTAAGAAAACATGTATAGCTGTTTTTTTTTTAGTTTCTTATAAATTCGAAACATACACAATAACTCCTTACCCTAAAGGACTCAATTTTTTTAGATTCCCTTGCAATCGTAAGTTGTCGTTTACAAAAGGTTTCGTCAACATCCGTTACAATTTTAGGGTTAAACGCTCAAACTATTGCTCTAACGGTGCACCACGTGCCGGAGATGAGGGTTAAAAGATCACTTAAGAGTTAATCTCACGTCGAGTTAACATTGACTTTGTGTTCGAAGAGTTGTACAATAAAAAAACATATCAATTAAATTAACCAATAGACAGAGGAGGGTGTTGCATGGGTTTTTACATTTTTTTTTTCTTTTTTCGATAATCACTTCTTGCCTGGACTTGATTCTAGGAGATATCTAAAATTGAATTAAATAGGTTTTCCTAATAAATCACTTGTTTACTTTTAACTTTCGGAGTGCTTAACAGGATTTATGGTCTTAGGTCTGTCTGGATATCACTGTTAACTCGGGGTACTAACGACTAAAATGTTATTCTGTAAAATCACAATGTATAGTAATTTTATTGAAATCTGTTTCGATTCGAGTAGTTTTAAGTAATTATTATGTACAAAACATGTTTTAAAACATGTTGTTGTATGTTTTCAAAACATGTTGCTGATTTCATGCTGTTGATAATTTCTAATTTTTTTTTTTTTTTTTCATATTATTGATAACTTCATTTACTTGTTTCTTTTGACCAGTTCTCGGTAATTTGTCAAAGGTAGACTTATGCGTTGTACTATTGAAACCCACCCAGGGGAAATACGATGTAAAGGGAGATTGCATATTGATATAAGATTATTCGGCCAGTCCAGTAAGAAGATTAATTTTTATTTAAGAAGTATATTCATGATTGTTGTCACTAGCTGTACTTTGACTGCAGGCTCGCTCTACGTCGAGACAAAGAGAAGATTTCGTCTTCTCATCGTCGATTTTTTTCGATTTCTTGTCTTTGGCTATACAAAGCTTCATCGATAGCAGAGCAGGAACATCTTAAGCCGCTCACGGCTTGCTTAAATCTAGATGTCGCGTTTATATACTTAAACTGCATATTATCTACATGGGTGTTTTGAATCTTTGTCGGTGTTCCATGAAAGCTTCACATCCTTATTATAACAGCCACAGAGTATTCATCTGCCGCTCTACGACTAAGTCTAACTAAAATTGGATATCTACTTCTTTTTTGGCGATGGGGAAGTAGCACCACCGCTGGCGATGTATCTAGCTTTAAATGTTTCGAAAGATTTAATAGTCTCGGGACTGAAAGCGTTAATATCGTTAAAAGATATATAGGTCGACTGCCAGCAGTGTTCGAAGAGGGCTTTCCTGGTACTTACAGTTTTGCCGCGTCGTATTTAATTGGAATAAACCTGAGCGGTTCTAGAACAATCTCGATTATTGTACAATTCGTGCGTCTGCCGAATCTAATAACTCCTCCGCCCCTCCCCCGCGCAATCGTCCGGATTAAGTGGCATTAAACGCTCCCGCGCAATCCTATCGCTCGGCGGCAAATCCGATTTCCAGTGCACTTTAATCCGATATCGCCCGCCCTTCACCACGCGCCGTCAAAGTGAAACCAGCAACGGCATACATTTCCCGGTTGCAATTTCCACATTTGAAAGCTGTTGCTGTAAGCGCATCGATGTACGCAGCGTATTCCGAAATAATCGTACTAGGTTTTGACGTGTAGCTCGGAGCACATCGTCAATTAAGTGATCAGGCAGCATAAAAAATGTAGCGTACAGCATACGTTGCTCGGTTAAAACGACCAGAGTGGATCGCGTTGTAGTAAGCGCATCAATGTACGCAGTACAGCCGATAGAAACGGATCGCATTGGGCTATAACGCGGACTCAGTCAATTAAGCGATCAGCCAGGGTTCCGCACAATTGGTCGCCTCCGCACAATGCAGTGGCGCCGCGGCGACATTGCGAATCAACGGGCACGGTTTTATTAGACCGATTAGGGGCGAACTGTGGAGGGATTTGTAATTGAGAGGATCGCGGTGATTTCGCATTGTCGGAGGGCTTAGGTGCTAGTAACGTGTAAATAATCTTCGTTTTTATCTGCAATGTTTACGTCGGTTCCAAATCGCGAACATTAAAATTGTGTAGGAAAGGTATAATAAGTGTTCTAACGATTTTTTTTTTTTTTTTTCAAATTACCGACGTTGTTTTAGTTCTTTGATAGAAATGCCAAGCCCAAGCTGGAGAAGGCTTAGGTGAATTAGCTGTGTAAAACCTTTATGTCACTAGCTTAATTAAAAAAAAGCGATAGAGCCAACAACGCATCAAGGTTTCAATTTTAGCTCGTAACATGTTTACAACAAAGATCTTGACTTACATTTATTTTGAATAATAAAATACATGAATAAAATTCATCTCCATTTATCAGTACACTGTAATAAAGATTCAAGGTTATCCAATAAAACTCCGCTTCGATTTCGTCCAACCCTCGCCGCTTGGCGCGTTTTCCACGAAAACGCGCCAAAATCAACGCCGGGCGGCGCGCGGTCATGCGTGTAATCGCATCGGCGTTTATTCGACCGCGGCCGACGGTTGCGCGCCTCTGACCGACCACGGATTACGTTGTCCGTTTAATTTTGTCTTTCTTTTTTTAAAAAAAAAAAAGAGTTCTACATTGTCGTTTGACGTACTCTGTTTACTCTGTAATATGTGCGGTGTGCTCTTGGTGATCTGTATTGAGACCTTTTAATTTAAAAAAAAATCTTTCGACTCTCGTATTATGCATGTTGTGTATGCTCTAGTGTTTATAGTATGTGAAGACTTCTTCGCAGCCCTTATAATTAAAAGAACATAACGTTTAAAAAATTTCGTTTGATGTATAATCTGTTCTCCTTGCTGTGCTTTTAATCTTAATAATCTGTGACGTTATTATTACATATTAAGCAAAGAGAATGTAATCACTACGTTTAAGAGACGGGACTCCCATACTAGCCAAAAATATCAGTTTACGCGGCACTCAAATACCAACCATACCACAAAAATACCACAAAGATGTCAAACAACATGAGTACCAACGTAACGAGCCAAATAGTGCTTAACCAAGCTAGCTTAGCTTCTTATCGATATCGATAAAAGATACTAGGTAGAAACCGAGGTTTCCACTTAATTTTTTTTTTTTAATTTTAGTAGGTTAGTATCGAGACCGTATTTATGTCCAATGTTAATAAGGGGATATTTGGTAGAAGATTGGACTTTAATACGGACCCGAAATAAGATAAAAACGGTTTCTGTTAATTAAAATAAAATTTTATTACTGAAGAAATTTGTTTCTAGATTCTTCAGCCAAAAGCTGTTGTCCTGCTATACACGAGTCTGGAAATAATTGAAATATAAAAATAGAATCAAAATCCAAAAATTATTTTAGTTTTCTTGCATACTCAGCGCACCAAATTAATTATATGACTTATCAATATTACAGAGATTATGTTTCAAAATCCTGCAAAATTCACCTATTCCGATCCTTGGTCATTTATGTAGGCACACCTTTCAAATATGTAAAACTTTGTGCCCCTACTATTACTGTACTATTTCACGCAACATTTTATTTCTTATTTTTTTCAAAGATAAACATTAACGTACTTATCGATATGTGGATATTACAGTTGCAGTACATCACTAGCACACAACTTAAATGAGATACATATTTTGTTAATTTTATTTGTTCTTAGTCTGCTCTACTTACATATGGCTGCAAAGTATCATATTTAAGTGCTTACATGGGCTTCATCTAAGGGAAATCTCCCCATAAACATCTTTTTTTCAAGATTCGAATGACTTGCTCGATTTTCACCAATTTCACAGGTCACCGTCTTTTTGGCATTTTGAATTAAAAGTACAAATCTCACCTGTCATTAGTTTTCGTGAGAAAGTTTACTCTAAACAATTTAAATTTACAATGAAATAAGCATTTACATTCAAAATACGCGGTGCGAAATTAAGTTTTGACAAACAACATGGCACTTGTTGTATTGCAAGAAAGAGAAACCGCATTGAGAGAGAGTGATAGCAACGTCCGCCATTATTTGCCGCTTAAAGTCCATAGAAAAATTTTTTGTTCCTAGTTTCGCCAGACTGATATTAAGGCGCTAATGCCACACAGTGTTGATAAAGTGGAGTACGGCGGCAAGTATGTACTGCGCTCTCTGTCCATCCCTTTAAGGAGGGTTGCACGAGGTTAGGGCCGGCTTTCAACATTGGTGAAGCGTCTGCAGCCTCGTGGAGACTATTGTAGGAGTAGTTTCCGTGAAAAGTCATCAACATTTGAGTATTAACGACACATCGTGAGCGTCGTTGGAATGCTCGAAGATGTGATGACACTGGAGAGACGAGTTCAGATAACGCACACGCACACATCCGCGTGTCCGGGACGCGACTGGGGATTGATAACCCGTGACCCCCCCTCCTCCTCCTCTACCCTCCTCCTCCACCCCGTTATCGCCGAGAAAAATAGGTTATAAATGGTCGCACAGAGGAACCATTCGAATGTATCGTATGTGTAACATCAAGGCTGATTTATGTTCTCGTCGAAGTCTCCGATACTATATTGGAGACACGTAGGTTCATTCCGTACTTTAGTATCTCCGAAACTTCTTGTTCGATCCTGAAGTTTTTGCTAAAAGAGCCTCATCGAGTAGAAGGCAATCATTTAAGCAGAAATCATTTAACAGAATATTTTTATATCTTTTTATATCTTTTCTCGATATTTTTAAATCGGATCTTAACAAAATACCACGTATACTTGCAAGACGGTCATTACCTATAAGGTCATATTTGTACTATCGTAATTGATAAGCATTTTCTAAGCATATTTTATTTTCACTATATAGATCGTTTACAACGGTTGTTCATAAATTACAATATTGGTAATATACACACACACCCAATGCAGCTTGGTATAATTGGCACCATCAAAAAACATGTGCAGTAAAAGATACAAAGTAGGTATCTTCTATTAATAAAATAAATTTTACATTCAGATGAAATACATTACAAATAGTATCTCATTTACTTTGTAACAATTTTAGAGATCAAGGTTATCCTTTTAATAATATCACGACAATTGAAGAGATCGTAAAATAAGTAGCTATTGAAAAACAATTCTCTATCTTTGTTGCTAGACAACCATCACAAGCTAAATATTTTCAGCTTTTTACATTTCGGCATCACAGTCAGCAAAAAAATAGCTTGGTATTTCGTAAAAGTGTAATAAGAAAAAAAAATAGGATGAATTAACATTGTAACAATTATTTGGTTATTTATCAGCCGGGTGGGCTAGGGTTTATTAAAGTTTTAAATTAGTTGATGTTCCAATCATGCAACTGAACAGTTTAATAAAAAATAGAAATGTCATTACCGTCGTTTACATAATATTATTATCAAGACCGAAAAATGGCAGTATAACAAATGATGAAATGATCTTACTTATATAAATCCCAAGACGTTAAATCATATAATAATAATTAAATCAAAACAGGCTGTATGGAGAAATTCAAAGCCATTAAACTGTAATAAAAAATACATTTAAGACAGCTGTCAAAAGCTTGTTACACTATCAAATTAAAAAAAGTTGGTCCCCTTCCACTCCCGCCTAAATAGTGACGCGCAATTAAGCGGGGTAATTATAGAGACATAATCGCCTAGTCGATGCAATATCGATGATCGAAACAAGAGCAACGCGTGCGCCAGACGTTCCTAAATTAACCGTGCGTACCGCGCCCCGTGCGGACAAAGAGACGGACGCGGTCGAGCAAAAAGGCGCGTGATTTAGGATCGACGTTTTAGCTCGCTTTGCTCCCATTCGGGCATCGATCTCGTTCGGAATTGTGATGCGAGCTGATTGATTTATGCGGAACCCCGCGCTTAGGCCGGCCGCGGACTGACGGTACGCAGTCCGCAGCGCAGGCCGCAGTCCGCGACGGCCGATTAGTGTCGCGCACTGGTGGAATGTCGGTCCAAAATTTCACGTGTTCTGGAAGTCCGAACGAACATCCGCTCGGATGCCGCGCATTTTGAATTCAGTAATAAAGCCAAGGCGAAACTGAAATGGTTTTAAATATGTGTTCTTCATTAGCATTGGTCTGGCATTAGCCTTACTTCGCGGATCTAAATCGTTCCGCAGATGTACGTCTTAATACGCGACTTTGTTCGGCTGCGAATAAGAGTCGATCGTTGTGTTATTTTTAGTGCGTTTCGGAAACCCGTTAACGTTGCCGAAGACGGATTCTCGTCTTCAAACGTCTGCTCTTTTTAGGGTAAACGTCGCGCGAATGAACTCGCGGTAATATCATTCTTAAATAGCGCGTTTTAAGCTCTAACTTAATTAAACCGTCAACATATAAATTAAAATAGGGGCAGATAGCTGTGACAGAAGTTACAATAATATTAAAGAGAAAGATAATGCTAGTTTATTTTGATTTTGTTTTATAACCGAAATGTTATAACCGTTTGATGAGTCGAATCAAACCTTTCTAACTAAATGTATCATCAAAAAGGCAGGAAAACTTTCACTTCGTTACGTTATATGCAACAGAACGGTTAAATTAGACCGCGTAATACGTTTTCCGTCGCACAAAAGAAGCGAGAAGCGGAGGCGAAAACAGTAAAAAAAATGGAGGGAAAACTCGTCCGGACAGAGCGAAAGGTTCCTCGGAAAGGCACGGAGTACCTGCTCCCAATTACTCAGCCAGGCTCGACCTGCGGGCGAGAGGGGGGAGGGTGGTGGGTGGCGTAGACGACACACAGACACCGTTGTCCCGATCAATGAGTGAGCTGTGAGCGCAGTGCCTGAATATCTCGCTATAGCAACGCCCTACCAGGTGGGTAGAATCCTATAGCATCGTTCTATTATTGAAGTTTTAAATCAGTTGCTGTTCCAATGGAACAACTGGCCAATTTAATTAAAAAAAAACAATCGTCATCTTTATATATTGTCTTTGTAGTAAGTTACGTATGTGTGCAATAAGATTAGTTACAGCACGTTGTGCAATGACGTTTCTTATTGTGACGTTTTCTTTTTCAATCAATTGCATGTTTTTTTTTAAATTGTTCTCACTGTTACGTCGACTAAAAGAGATCTGAAGGAAAAAGTTTCAGTTAGGTAGTGTTAATGTCGATTTCGTTTTGTTTGTGATTTTGGTTTTTGTTATCGATTCAAAATAATGCCCTTGAAACTATGTTAAGAATTTCTTTCAGATAGAACAATTTCATTACGGCTAGGCTTAATTTGGTTTCGGATTAATTTAAGTGATTATAAGTTATTGAAGTCCCTTACATCCTACGGTGTTGGCATTCTATATCTTTAGATTTAACATACAATGAAACCAGTCGCATCAAAAAAATTCTATTTCAGTATGGGCGCTTAATAAACTCGTTTTAAGTAAAATATTAGCACGCTCAAAAATATCGTAATTTTCATCTATTGCACCTACACGTTTTCGTGAATCAATTTTTTTATTTTAAATTATTTTATTATGAAGTGTAAGCAAGGATAATAAATAAGGCAGCATTCCTATAGATCCCAAATGTCTTTCGCCAAAGTAAAGCATCAACTTTAAATTACATCACGAGAGTCAGACAAACGCAGTGTGGAACGAAGTTTCAGATTTCGCCGGTTTATATTTAGCTTTTTAATTTTAAGCGCTACGTGCGGCAATGGCCTGGGATGATCGGGATTTGGAACAATGAAAATAATAAAAAAGAAAGTCGGCTCAATGTTTTACATATTCGTATCGTATCGTATTCAGCCACTAGTGTCCCACTGTTGGGCAAAGGCCTCCTTCCATTTCTTCCACTCCTCCCTGTCGTGGGCTATACCAGACCAATCCCTCCCCTCGCAAATGCGTCCAGTTCGTCGCGCCATCTCCGTCTGGGTCTGCATATTAAATATTTAAAATAGGATCGTCATCGTAATCTAAATGGCGTTAACTCGACGTGTTTGTGTCTTGCATGGTTGAGACTCGAGAATTCCGCCGTAATCGTAGTTGGAGTTTGGGACCTAATTTATTTAGGTGAGGACACACGTAGGTGTCTCTCTGGGCGGGGCGGGGCGGCGCGACCTCTGACCCGCCCTATCTCATCCCCCGTTCACCTCTGGCGGGCGCTTCGCCCCCGCACTTTCACCTCGGGGTGAGCGGGCTGCGGAGCGCCTTCGCGATACGGTCGACCCGAGACGTTGCCAGTACGGACTGAGACAAGTTTCTTTACCGTATTGTTTTTTTTTTATGTAGACGTGGCCAGTGCTAAATGAGATCTTTAAAGAGTTTCTATATCGTTACAATTGTTTTTATGGCCAATACAAAATGCTCTTTAAATTGTCATAATATATCTTATTTTATATTTACTTTACGATAACATTATCCTGTGGTGTAAGGACGTTTTTACAAATATAAATTTCACGCGGACAAACACCCAGATGCGGAACTACTGTCTGTGGGTCACACAAATAGTTGTCCCGTGTGGGAATCGAACCCACGACCCCCAACGCCGAAGCCAATACGCCGAAGACGCCAAGGAATCATCGATATATCTTCGTCTTCTAAGATGCCTACAGAAAGTGCTAAATGGAATCTCTAAAAAGTTTCAATATCGAATATGTGGTCATGACGAAATAACTATAAAGCATTCTATATTTGGGAAATATATCCTGTAAGAGAAGAGTAGTTGAAATTATTCAGAGTTTAGTAATTATATGTTGATGAATCTAATAGTATTGATATTTCAGTGAATAAATATTTCTACTCAATATTTAAATATATTTCGACTATAATAAATAACTGTAAAATTCACTACACCTAACTCAATTTTTGGCATTTTTTTTATCTTATTTTGATTATATAGAATGTTAAAAAAGTTTGGTAATAAGATACATGATATCATACATAGCTGTTATAAATTACATTTTGATTAAATGCGAGGAATTATTATTTTTAAAATTGAAGTTCAAAGTTTAATTACCGAATCACTCGCGATAACATTATCATTATCAATATTATTGAAATTATGAAAAAAGTTATATGTTTAATCTTACATTTTTGATAGTAATGATTAAATCACTTTTAAGTAACATTAGATTGGAAACCGAAGAGCTTATGTGTAGTTCTTTACATGGAACAGTTGAATGGATTTGGATGAAACGTGAAATCTGAATGGCCTATATAACCTCGATTATGACATGACATTTTTTTTTAAATTAAAATAGATGGAATGTCGATTTAGTCTAGTACTTATTAGCACTAAAGTAAAAAAAGAACCAAAAATTTTCATTAAATATTAAAACGTTTCGTTAGAAATGAGGCAGGCAACGTCGCTGTTAAAACCATATCAACAGTACATAATTATATATAATTATATCTTCCATTATTGGGTACTACCTACTTATTTTAAGTATGAATTGTTATCAAAATTCGCTTATCGCTTCTTAATGGCTTTGTTGCCTTAATTCAGTTATTATCGTACGTTATAATTATAATTAAACTTTAAAATTACTAATTATAAATATGTAGAGCTGTGATACCTCAGTGCTCGATTCATATTCAGTATCGAAGAAAAAATCGTGAGGAAACCCGCATATAATCGAAATAATAAAAAAAATATTTCGAACGTATTATGTCAAGTCCGCCAATCCGCAGTGTGCTTGCGTGGTGGACTATGCCGTAATATCTTCTGTACAGGGGAGGCTTTTGCAATGGGATATATGTGGGCTGTATAAAAAAAAGTTGTCTGTTCATCTTTTTCCAGATTATTCTCCCAAAATTCTGTATTCTTTGCTCAATATTTTCTTGTTATTTGAAAGGTACAATATTCTAAATGCGCTATAAATATTATGTCAGTCAGTAAATAAAACTGAACTGCACCTAGACAAAGCTGGGGTGGAACGCTAGTATCTCGTGTATTTGTAACTCTAATTAGAACTGACACTTGTTGGAATGTAAAGAGTAGAGATTGGCTTTTAAAAAGAGCTACCTACTTGGATCCTTGATGCTGGCTCTGGCACCTTCTTGGTTTTGAAACTAGCCATAGTATGTTTTTGTTCAGCGAGTAAAGGAAATTATGTAGTCGATACTTTACGTAAATTATTATAATTTCTTTTAAGGATTTTCTTTACGGATTCTTTGTATTCCTACCATCATCTGAACGTATGATGGTATTTCATAAAGCCAGTGGTAACTAAAAGTTAAGTTTATTCATTATACAATCGTAAAAGATAAAGAGGGGACATTCGAAAGTTATCTATTATGTGCAGTTTAGAGTAATTTGTACATGAGTATTTGTAGCCCTTTTTTATTCATCAAGAATAAATAATATTTCTGTTAAGCTCTACAAATAGCAATAAAATAGCCGTCCATAAAATTGATTAAACAAACACAACCTCAGAGCAATCCAAAGGGGCATTACAAAAAAAGCTAAGCCCATCTATAAAAAGGCGCGAAGTCTTTCGCTGACGCGCGCATAAGCTCGCAAGAAGTGTCAACAGATTCCAATTGGACGCGTCGGCCGGGGCGACGTTGACGTGCGCAAGAGTGGAACGGCCGGCCACGCCCCGCGCGCCGCCCCCCGCTCAATCTAGATCCATCTAGGTGTTCTCTAGCGTTGTCACCAGTGGACAATTTGGAAATATCATTTTGAAAATCGCATTCGAATCGACGCGGAAGGCGTCCCACTTATTTTTTTATTTTAAATTTTCCATTCGGCCAGCATTCTATAAATTATTAATTTACAAATATTTATTTAAGCTAAATAAATTATTTTTATTTTGCCAATTTATGTCACTTCTTAGTACCAATATTTAAATCGCTTGAACTAAAATGGTTTTAAGGTTACCTATGTAAAAAATAAAATGTATTGGGAATCAATGTCATTTCATTTTCAATTTATTTTTCAAATCCCATTTTTAAAATGAGTCTATATTCGAATTTATAATAGAGACTTCGTCAAGAAGTCGTTTTGTTGAATACGGCGATGTCAGAATTTAAAAAGGGACAGAGTTAATAAGAGCCCGCGTACGGCGGAGCTATTTACTGAGGAGAAAATACGGGCGCGATGTTGATGGTTAAGTATAGCGAGTGGCTGGCAGCTTGCAGAAATATGGAGGCGGCGGAAACTTGATACGAAGGATTTTCAGGTACCGTTGGTGCAAACAATTTCCCGAATGTTAACATATTTTATTTTTCGATACGGTTTGTGTTAATAAGCTATTTGAAAAAAAGAGTTATTGGTATACCTTGATAAAATGAAAATAAAGATAGTACCTACGCACCATTTACGATATTAAAATCTTGACGATTACGAAACGATTGTTGTCTAATGTCTTGAAAAAACTGTACTGCCTTATACTGTAAGTGCAAATATAGCTAAAATAATAAGCATTTGTTTGCAATATTGCTATCGTATCCATTCTAACTTCGAATTAAAAACGAAAAGTATTTTATTAAGGGACATAAAAAACTTAAGTAATTGATAGCATATGGCGGACAAGATTCTATCCATTCAATTTGAAAATGGATCAGACAGTAAACGGCCACAGCGAACGCCAGTAACCGTCAAACGTCAAAGGAGCTTCGTCGTAACTATTACGCAATAAACACGCAGCAACCGACACGAGGATGGAACGTTTTTGATTGTATTCGGCACATAAAAAAAATCCAACGGACACAACGGACGCGAGCCAGTAAGTAGAGTCCGCCCAGCGGATTTTCTTACCGACGCTACGCCGCGCACCGGCTGAAAGATTTTCGCCCTCCACCCGCCGTGGGGGGGCAGGGGGGCCGCGAGGGGCGAGCGGGAGGGGGCGCCGCGGTCGAGGTGGCGGGGCCTTCGCTCCCTGCCCCCGGGCCACCGGGCCAATGGCGGCGCGCCGGGCCTGGCCCGACCTCGGGCTCAGTCGCGACTCAGCCGCGACCCTTGACACACGTGCGCGCCGCGCGTCTGCTACCGCCGCGGGGCGAACGCCACCATCACGCACGGGGCCCTAGTGTACGGCGGGGTCGGCGGGCCGGGGCTCTGCCCCCCGCGCGGCCCCGACCTGCCGCCGCTGGAGCTCGGCTTCAGGGGCGGCTGGCGCGACGACGAGCTGCTGCCCTCGACGCCCGCGAGCCAGGCCGCATCCACTCAGAGCGGCTCCTCGGCCACCGAGAAGGGCCAGAGCGTGGAGTGCGTCGTCTGCGGCGACAAGTCATCGGGCAAGCACTACGGCCAGTTCACCTGCGAGGGTACGTATCAAGTGAAAGTGCTTACTCGTATTGGGTGCAGTGCGCTAGGTCGTTTAGACGGAATCAGTATGACGCCGCGTAGTTACTGCCACTTAGACGTGAGGACTCCGAGTGATCTCGCGTAGTCACTTACGGCTACTTAGAGGTAGGTACTTAGAGGTAAAGACTCCGAGTGATGTCGCGTAGTTACTTACGGCCACTTAGACGTGAGGACTCCGAGCGATCTCGCGTAGTTACTTACGGCCACTTAGACGTGAGGACTCCGAGTGATGTCGCGTAGTTACTTACGGTCAGTTAGGTCAGTTAGATGTCAGGAGTGCGGGTGATGTCGCGATGGAGTTAGGGCGCGGAATTCACGCGCGAAGAGGTCATAGGGTCAGGTAGCGGTGTGCGGGTCAGGCCTTTGGGACTTCGCGGACGGTGAATTAGTATACAATTTATATCGCTAGGTCGTAGGAGTTTGCAAGCGGATTTTAGATCGTGTTAATGTGTCGTATTTATTACATTTATAAGTGATATTTTAGGTAGAATGAAATTTGCTTTTTTACAAAGTAGATACATACTAGACGTTTGTCTTCAGTATGTTCGGACATAGTTAGGGTTTGTGTGTGGGAGGTCAAAGGATATGGCTAGGTGTTTGCAGGTCGATCTGACAATGGGTCGTAGTATCACGGGTCTATAAATGACGTTACAGATAATTGAGAACTTGGTACAGCGCGATTTCTCATGTTCAACTTTAAAAAAGTGCCAAACTTAAATCGTTCAGAAGTGTGCTATTTGGAACCCTTATGTTTATATTTGAACGAATCGTATCTGTCATATTGTCGATATAGAGTTAATGAAGGAGTTTCACCTCCTCATTTTTTTTTATTTTATAGTTAGTCGAACTGTTTAAATTGAGTGATATAACAGTGATAAGTGTAGTCCGTTATCTACTACTTCAAAAAGCTTACAAACGTTTATAAATAAACTGGTGTTTATAAATAAAACAAAACAAAAACCAACAGTTTACGGAAATCCTTCAAGGCTGATCAATGCAATAGAAATGTTATATTCGTTTGAAACAATTTATTATTTTTATTATAGCACATATAATTCGTTCTTGCATTCTGCAACATGTAGTATATTTATCATTGACTCGCGTTAATGCGTTATCGTTATTTAGTTTTAAAACAAGTGAATTACGGAAAACATCCAAACGATATTATAATGTAATATCAGTCGTTTCGTAGGCTGTAACTCAAATTACGATCCCCACGAGTTATGAATTAACTTCGCCGTCCGTCTAATCAGAATGCAATGGAGGAGAGTTTTCACAAAGTGCCTGCTCCAAAAGATAAGGGACGCGTCTTTTATGCTAATTAGGCAATCACAGGCGCAACGTTCGCGGGCGGTTCGCGAAGTAACGCGAGAGCAGTTAATTACATCGCTTTAGTAAAGTGAATACATGTCACACTGTTGGTCAAAGGCCTCCTCTGTACTCTGTACTACAGAGGAGGCCTTACTAGGGCATAGGCCAAGCGGCCAACGGTGGATTGGCGGACTTCAAATGTCTTTGAAATATGTGTTTATTTTGTTATTTTTAGAAAACTGAATTATCTCGTCTTCTCACGATGTTTTCTTTCACCGCTGAACACCTGATATTTTAGCAGCATTTAAAATTAAAAATTTCATATAGCCGGCACCGGGACTCAAACGTAGGTTGCTCGAGTATATCGAATTAAAGGCACTGATTAGAAATCGAGAATTAAAGGCCCGGACACTGAGCTCGCTTTTAACGACTTCTTGTATCTGCAACTCGATCTCAGCTACTTTGTGTTTCGTCGAGTCTTTTTAAAACGTTAGAAGGTTTTTATTTCGCTCCGGAAAGGAGCAAACAATTGTAATTATTCATCAGAGCCCGCAAATGGTCAGAACAGCCCCAAAGGATAAAGCCGAATTTCTTGCACGATGCAGATACAAGATGACATGAATAATCACCTCATCAGAAGGGTTTCCGAGATTACAACGTCGCGGACAAATTGACGCTATCGGTTGCGAATTGTTAACTCCAATTCTTTTTAAGGACAATCTCGCTTTATATCTTTATTGGGAATTCACCATAAAGGTATTGCCACACTGGGATTAAACAGTAGGCAGAGACTCAGTTATCTACTAGCTTATACCCGCGACATTTTCCTTGTTTATTTTAACAACTACACCGCTTGTCCCAACATTCCACGGCAAAAAAACACACACCACTGACTACGTGCATTATTATTTCTTTATTTCTTACAAATTTAATAACTACATTAAATAAAGATGCCACAATTTGTTTTAAATAAGCGTTTTGTGTCTATGAAGTTAAATTTAGAAGAATTTATTGAAATTGATATGTCAGTTTTTCGGCAGACATATATCACTTAAATTGCTGTATCTCTTAAGCAATTTGCTTGTGTTGCCTGTGTGTGTGAGATTTGACATGATAAATTTGTAAATGAAAAAGGGGCAGAGAGACTACAATACACAGGTGTGGATATTTGTAACCTTAAATTAAATTAATTATAACATTCGTCGCTTGCTATCTAAACTGCGATCAAACGGGCGCGCAGACTTTAGATGGCCGCTTGAAAATTTAAAATTTTCTTAATTACGGACCTTTCATTGGGTGACCAACTACACTAATTACTGAAACTCTAACGACCGTACCCTTATTTATATGTTTTATGATTTCGAATAGTTTTCGTTACTGTTAAAGTTTTGCTTTAGTAATACTTAGTGATAGCGAGACGGACTTGATCCTACATGTTGTTACCGCTACAAATGTAATATGTAATGTAATGTAAATGTGTATAAGTGATATCGTGCCAACCATGGGCAAAATATTCAAAATATGACAATAATCAATTAATTATACACGATTTCTTCAACATCATTAAATGTAATGTAATTATCAAATTAATTTTTACGTGTATTCTTTTTTTTTAATTTTACTCAGTCTACTTTTTAAAGTAACCACAATTTTCAATATTACCGTAATTTTTGGCTACTAAAATCCGGATACGCACTTGCTACTAACTGTATCCGTCGGATTATCTGTAAGTGTTAGGATTCTGGAGAGTTTAACAAGATTGCTAATCATTGAAAAGGAACAGTAATAATAAAATCATAATAAAATTGGACTTTTTCGAGTTCCCTCGTTGAAATGCTTCACTTTCGTAAAAGTTTCACGCGATGAAAACCCCGTTGGAGAGAGTATGTTTTTGGTTGGCTTAGCTTTTTTTAAATGCGATGTGATTGGTGAATTGTTGACCCTGACTACTCTTATTATCCGCTCGAATTGAGTTATTTACAGTAAAAGCTCAGAGTAACTTTTATTTGTATACTGGAAAAAAAGGAAATTACTCGTTTCAATTGCAATGCGTGAAAAAATTGAAACAAAATAATGGAATGAGAATAACAATTGATAAAATGTATCAATTTCTAAGTTCTACGATTTTACAAGTATTTTAACAGACTTCAAAAAGAATAAAATTATTAAATTTTGTTCGAGGTTAGGTAGGGTAGGTTGCACAGGTTAGATTTTCATGATTTAATTATATTAGATTTAGTATTATTAAAAACTTTTTAGTGCTAACAGAGTTTTTTTTGTTAAAAAGCTTTTTTTTATTTCACTTTATAAAAGTTTGAATTCGCCGTTTCAGAAACTGTGCACAATTTTCCTGACAATGTCAACTGGTACATTATTTATAGGCACAGTTCTATTGCTGTAGTCGTCTCGAAGCCAACGGGTTCCAAATCCCAGTACCTGCAACATCGACACCTGTTTCTGAGATTTAATACATAAATACCATCTTATTTGCGTATGACCAACTATCTAATAGTGACCTTCTAGAAGATTCTGTGCTCTTCAGAAAGCCAGGCGTCGCCTCTGCAACTCTAGATACTGCGGTGACCCCGTGCTTTGTAAAATTCTATATATGTACAATCTATCTGTCTCTGGTTATCTGGTTATCTAATAATTTCATATTTCACATACATTGCTAACACTACAGATTTTAAACAAATATATTACAGTCTTTACAAATTCTATAGCTTTTACTCCAAACTTAAAGTTCCGATGTGCAATTAAAGTTAAAAAATAAAAGCGGTTAAATTCGAAAGACAGTTTTATTTAATAATATCCACTTAATTAGTTACCTGTTACCCTAGGGTCAGAATGTGAGAGATTATCACCGTCAGATATCACACGATCTTTTAGTAAGAGACAATAGTTAATGCCGGTTATCTGCATCGAGTCGATGCATGTCAGTAATTTTAACTATCGGAGGAAGTTAATCGGCGCCGTTGTCGGATGAGGTACATCATCAATTCCTTGTCGACGGCGAGATAAGAGGCGTGCACGACACATCTAACAGAACATTCTAGAAGGTGCCTTGATTGTTCTCGATGCCGTGCGTTCTCTTCCATGTGAACACTCCGGAGATGGCCGCCACGTAATTAGACAGTCTCTGTTGCTAATGAACACGGATTGCTATAATTTCTTTTAAATATAGTGTACCTGCTGGTACCCGCGACTTAGACATTGCTCATTATATTAACAACTATTCCGCTTGTCCCACTTCTCCACGGCAACAACACACATCTCTGAACGCGTAGTGATTACAAAAATGGTTGTTTCTTAAATATTTGTATATTTTCTTTAGATAAGGACAAAGTTTTCTTTTTTATGTGAGAAGCTGGCAAGTGAGCTGGCGATTCGCCTGATGTTAAGTGATAACCGCCGACCATGGACGTCTCGAAGGGTTGCAGATGCGTTGCCCACCTAAAGTGGGCCCTGGTTACCTCACTGACAAGACGAAACGCAGACGTATAACACTTAAACTTCACACCGATCTTCTGTGAGGTCGTGGCACTTACCCAAACGGACCTGCCCATTCGTGCAACAGCGAAGACTGTTTCGAGGCCCTACCACAGTTAACTTAACTCGATAAATTAAGTCATTTATATAAGCTCCATTT